CCACCTATACTCACCTTTATTGGCTCCATCCCCGCCTCTTTGACCTGTCTGTCTCCTCTCCACCTATCTGCTCCTTTATCCATCTTCAATCCGCCTCCCCCTCTCTCTCTATTTATTTCAGAATCCCCTTCCCCTTCCCCATTTCTGAAGAAGGTCTAGGCCTGAAACGTCAGCTTTCCTGCTCCTCTGATGCTGCTTGGCCTGCTGTGTTCATCCAGCTCTACACCTTGTTATCTCAGTGTTTATGCATGTTCTTTCTGTCTACAAAGAAAAGGCGCCTGTTGATTACATGTAGTTTCCAGTCTGCACAAGTGTATCCCATTACAAGCCCAGCTGGCCATCTTAAATTGGTTTTCAGCATAATTCCTTGCATATTCAGAACAATACCTTGACCAATCAGAGTCAGCATGCTTTAAAACGTTAAACAAAGCTTGGCAGTTAATTGTCAGTCACAATCTAACTGTTGTATTCTTTGTGTCAACATCTCTACCAACAAGAGTCCTGTTGCCAAACAGTCAGCACTCTTCTCTCAAACAGGGTAAATGTTGTTTTCCCTTTACATTAGTACTATTATAAATTGTCCTGTTCAGCAAAACTCAAGTTTTGTTCTACCAAATGACTATCTGCATTGCTCTTTCTCAGACACACGGAAACAAATACTATTCATACCTGTATATCACCATTCACGTTTCCGTGCCCTTGCTGGTGTTGAGTGAAATATGAAAAATTGCAAAATGAATGGCTAAAACGTCAAGGTCAGAAACATCCTAGTTTCAATTTATAGTCTGTACTGAGTTAACTGATATTAACCATGTTTTTGATAGGAATATTGAAATTGTTTTCAAGGTGGTGAAAATCATTCAGTTTCTAATTTTACCTTAAAGAAGGGAAGAAGAAAATGGATAATTGGGAAACACAATCTCTAAATGCTAGCATGACACAACTGGTAACAAAGTTTCTCCTGGATCAAGGTTTGTGGATTTGAGCTACATAACAGGGCTAGAGATCATAATCCAAACTGATATTGAAGTTCAGTAGCAAAGGAATACTGTATCATTAAAGCCGATACACTTCATCTTAAATATTCGCTTGTTCTCTAAGAACCAGTAACATGGCTCATGAGATGAAGAATAGGGAGTTGTCCCAATATCAAACTAACTATGTCAGTCATAAAAAACTGATTAGTAAACTATGAATTTCATTTCTGTGTGACGGATGATTATGATACAATTTAAGCACCCTGCTTCTTGACATAACAATAGTCAATGAAGTTTAAGTAAGGCACTGCACCCAAGTCTCTGACTCCTTTCTATGGTCTGATAATGTGATGCATATCAATAAATTCAAGAATTCCTTTCTTTCTTTCCTCTTAAAAGTACCATGTCACAGACTAGTGCAGGGGTAATAGCTTTAGGATTAGAGTTAAAATATGTGACTTATATAATTAAAATACTGAGAAATGTACATGAAAAGTAACTTTTAAAAGGTAAGAGAAAACAAAGTGTAAGAATAGGAAATAAACTCAACCTGAACTTAGTTGAGGAGAAATAAAACATAAAAGCCTACTGTGATGCAAGAATGCTACAGTAGTGAAAATAATGCTATGCAATCATGTCAACCACTTCAAGCCACACTTAGAAATTTAAGCTAGGTATCTAATTTTTGGATAGAGTCAAATAAACATGCTTATTTGTTTCCTTGATATGCTACTGTACAGAGCCGAACTGTATATTTTTGAAATAAAAAAAATCTGATTTTTAATTCTAACAAAGTGTATTTGAGAAAAAAAATGAAAACACAACATAGATAATGCAGATGATGCTGGGAGTTATATTTGAGTCCCATTAAATTTTCCATGAAAGTATCCAAATATAACTGCAGTGCATTTAATAGTAGCAGCTTAGATTGTTGCTCTTTAAGTTATAACAGTAAATGGGCTCCCTCTGGCAGTGGCTGACGTAGCTGCTTTCCGCTGTTTTACACTATAAAGGATCTGGAGGCTGAAAAATAGTCCAGCACCACCTAAACTCAGCTCAGATTTCATTGCACTGTGCAGTCAGATAGGAAACAACCAAGTAACTTTTAACAATGTTCCTATCGCTCAGTGGAATTGGCTTTGTGGTGGAATTATGATGAAGCATTTGGGAGTTTTAAGAGCGATAGGAAACTGAAAGTTTCATAAAGTGAGAAACTCAAGATCTGAGACAAAAAAGGACACAGCACCTGCCTCTTGGGATCTTTTTAAGTGCACAATCTACATTGCACTGACATTTCAGCAGGATTCATATTGGAATTGAAGATAGAACAGATCCAGGATAGGAATATCCATTTCAGCTGGATTGAAAATGTATTCTGGATTTTTCATGGCAGCAGTTTTTTTAATTCAATGGAGATTCATTTTGACCCAAGGTAAGAAAATACAGAAATAATTAACTGATTATTAATCATATATTAATGCAGAATTCATTATGCTTATTTATTTACTTATTGTAGAATAGTTAGTTAATGATTTTATGTAAACACAACACAGCCTCTTGGCTGAAGTGATGAAATTTTCACCTTGGCATTCTTTCATTGGTGAGGATATCTGTGCAATATTGTACAACACAATTAAATTCATAATACATGTACTTACTTAAACAAAAATAAAACTTGATTAAAAGTTCCTGTTGCTTTTCTGCCTTTACCAACTTTCAGACCCACCAGGTTATTTGTCCAAAAGATTTGTTTCTGTTTACCCCTTAACTTACTAAACAAGCGTGGCAATAATGCAGTTAACAAAGCAAATGTTGTGACTGGCATGCTTATGGTGTTACACTGAAATTTTGAAGATTTGCTACTCTTTTGTCTCAAATACCTAAAACTTGTAATCCTTAAAACACAACTTCTCAGTCTGAAAAGAATAATGTAACAGGTTTACAAGAAAAGTAAACCTCAGGTCTATTAAATTGCTTGATTATACCTATCTAGTGCTGAATTGAAGGATAATGCAAGTCATAACAATAGGTCGCACAAGAGCTATCTCTTTTAATGTGTTAATTTTCAATTTAAGTATCAACGATAAGGGGTAAGACAATTTTTTTCATTCAACTGTGTTTTATTTAAGTCAAAACAAGTTGTACACAAGAAGCACAAATTGGACTTGAAAGAGTGATTCTAACCCCTTTCACAAGATCGCTGTTTTTTTTTAAATTCATGAGACGAAAACTGAGCTATAATAAATGAGGAATCTAATTGTAGGCATGATGTCAGGGCAGACTACAAAGTTGTTTAAACGTAGATATAATTAATGTGAGTATTGACCAGTAATTAGGTAACAATCATCACAGATCAAAAGAAGTATGAAGTAAGTCCATTGACATTAACGTTTTAGTTAGAAAACCCTTTGATCAGGTCTCCTCAATCTGAGAATATTTATTCAGTGGCATATTTCAAATATTTTTGTTTTTATTTTCTATATTAGTTATTACAATGTTTATATTTGTACAATGTGCTGAAACATCATGAAGAGCAGTAAAAGTTTCCCAAGTTGTGTGATTCTTATTATGTAGTTAAGCACATTAGCCATTCTGCACCTGTAACATAAGACTTCGTGTGATTTTAGTAATATTTCTTGTTAGAGAAATATTAGATAGAACTTTAGTAGTATCCCTCGCCTTCTCTAAATAGTACACTGGGAGCTTTAATATCTTCCTGAATCACTTGCATGAGCAGAAAAGTCAGTTAAGCATATGGACAATTTGAATTTGAGTCAGCATTAAATTAAGTATCTTAATGCTACTTTGTATACCCTCCACAATGAAAACCACCATCAGGAGCTTTCAGTCTCAAACATCTGTTACCCTCCCTTATTGAATACCTAAGAGAGATAACAATTTGCTTTCTTGGGCTTGAAGTTACACTGTGGATCAATAACACATGCGTTGGTCTGAAATTCCTCTTCCTGCTGCTTTCATGTGAGCTTCAAACATGTTTTTAAACTTAATGGTTAACACCTCCACTAAAATAATAGACAAAATAATTTCAGACCAATGTTGAGTGTATAATTCTCCAAAATAATTCCTCAGCTGTAGTTTTGAAAGCTTTTATGCATTACATAATTCAATAAGAAAGTTTCACCCCTCTGCTGACTGATGCAGTACAACTGGAATAAACAAACCAAATGAAATTGATTTTATTTAATCCATTACTGGAATGAATTAATGTGAATTTTGTGAACCTACAGCTGGATCTTGTGCTGCAAACTCCTAAACAAGTCTGTTCTGAAACATAACTCATTCCCTCCACTCTCCATTCCACCACCCTAGTGTCTGCTGATTCTTGCTGAACCAAGGTGCCAAGAGAAACTCACATCTAAAGCGGTAACTATCATAAGCGTCAGGAGGTTGGGGCTCAATTACTAGACTCTTCAGAAACTGTAGCTATTCTAAGTTGTACCAGAGTGACATTGATGAAATCTGAAACTGGAAAATGCTAGAATTCCTGTCATAGAAACAACTGACAGATTCTGATGACAATTATTGATTTTGGGTGGCTTCAGTAAATTAATGAGGATAGCGTATTGAAAAGATATTCATATCAGAGGCTTGCAAATACCAAGTATCATAAATTTAGCACTAAAGTTAGCACTAAGAAAGTAAGTGAGATGCAGGACTGTCCCTGTTTGCAAAGCAACTGGCAGAAGCATGCAAGTTGTAGGTGTCCCTGAGATCCACAGGAAAGTGTTGAAGGCCTGAAGTAGTGTAAGAGTTGGACCAACAGCAGGAATAATGATGTATTGAGGCTGGTGGTTAGCCGATGCCAAATTGTGTGGACAAAGGCTTGAGGATAATGTTAGCCGTGGAATGTACAGGGATGTTGTGCTGATGACAGTTTTGGATGAGGTCTGGGACAAGCAAATGGTGAGCTGCTGCTGTGAGGTACCTGTTTTGACCTTCATGTCAGAACTTGTGCCATGTAGCTTCAAGGAAGGAGAGGAAAGTTGAAATGGGATGAGTTCAGCAAATAATGCGCTTAAGATGCATGGAAATAGATTTATCCACACTCAATAGTGAGATTTTGAATCCAACATTTAAGGGCAAGTTGGGAATTTTTTTTCTCAAAGTCAATATCCCAGTTTTTCCATTCTCGCCATATTTTACCAACTTTATTACCATTGCCTATGCCACTCATGGGATGGAAGAATCCCATCTGTTGAACAAATTGATAAACTCCTCTCAATATATAGTCACTGCACATTCTGTGAAAATGTTTATTATGAACCAAAGTACTCCTATTTATGTCCGGTACGCTCATGCAGAATGGACACCAGATAAGGATCATGTCTACTTTGCTATAATGTCTCTTAATCCTATCTCAATCACTGTTTATAGCCTTTATTTATGTGTGCAACTGAATAATAAGTATGTTGGAGAGTCATCTAACCTTGCTAGTGCCCATTCAACCATACCATAACCTAGGTATCAAGCCCTATATCAGTAGAGTGCATATGTCCATTGTACTGTTAATTTAGTGTTATTATAACTTAGTTTTATTCATTTATGGGATGTGGGTATGTCTGACTGGACCACCATTTATTGCCCATCTCTAATTGCCCTGGAGAAGTGGTGATAACTTTGCCTGCCAGATTGATGCTCTGTAACTACAAAAATGAAATGTTAAATCTTTTTAGAGCCTTCGGGTTCTTGCACATCCGACAACCTGCTCTGAAAACTCAGCTCACATTTTGACAGCTATGAAAAATTGCATCACAGCTGCTGAGACGATCAACAACAGTGTAAATGAAAAAAAGATCAACCTCCTACATAAAACAATGTGCAACATTCTAAAATAAAAGAAAATGTTTCCATATTTTCCAATGTAACACATTCCAAGGTACGGAATGAATCTGCACATTCACCAAAACCTAATCTTCCTTTTTTAGACCATACCTTTTTTTATGAAGTTTTGTCAAAATCCATACATTAGTTTTTGAAGTAAATTGTTTACAGGCTAACAGAATACTAAGGGTATAAATATTACCTCTACCCACTTTCAGTGGCAGAAGTAATACTTTTATAGCATGAGAAGAGGAAGGGAGGTAACCAGACCAGTAACCAGGGAGATGAATAGACAAAGAATGTTTAAATTACAAAGCAAAATCTGCTTAATTAGCAGCAATGAAACTTGGAGAACTATTTGGAAGGAGTAAAAATAAACTAAGCATGTTTTAGCCTGCTTTCAGTCCTTTTTGGATCATACAAAACATGCAGAGTGTCCATTAGTTCTGACATTGCTAAGACATTTGTGTGAGTGTGTGCCCTTTTGAGGTTACATTAAGACAGTAGCCTTTGAAAAGAAAAATCCACTAGATGCCTTTCCCTATTCATTTACAGCACAGATACTGATTCCACTTGTATTTTCTATTTGTTGTGTGGCCATCCATAAAGGTTAATCTCAGACTTTACTACTTTACCAACCTCTGACTTTGGGAACTCTGTAAACAGTTTTAAATTTGTCATAAAATGTGATGACTTTCTTGTAAAACTATGTCTTAAATGGCATTGCTAGTGGTGAGAAAATGTGCCAGACGACTTCCAACATCTGAGCCAGGAAAACAGAGCCAAATAAATGAAGAGTGTAGATAACAGTCAACAACATTTTTGGAGTGTAACTATAGGAGGAGTTCTGAAGCTTTGCTAACAGGATCTGATACTCCTTTGGTCAAAAAGGTACATTATTTTATGTTGACGGGATTAGGTTTTCTAATAGTCTTGACAGACTGATGTCCAAGATCATTAAACTAATGCAGAACTGTTCTGGTTTAAAGAAATTCCAATATAAACACTCTCCGCATGACCCACCATAGTGCTGTGACAATGAATTGCAATAATCTAGTGCTAAAATTGTACCAAAAGCAGCCTGAAAGTTAAAAGTTAACAGAGGTATTGTTCCAGATTCTGTAAAGATTTGTACCTTAACCCAGACTACTTTGTTTGAAACCTTCAGAACACACATTTTGTAGTACGTCCCAGTTCATTTACACAATGCTAGTGGAAATGTGCATTTAAAGAACTCAGACAATGATTCATTCCTTGTGACTCCTGTAATGTTTGCTTAGTAGAAGCAATTGGATTAAGGGAACATTTGTCTGCCACTAAAGTGTTCCTATTAAGAAGAATCTACCATGGTTTTGTATTTTTTTTTAAAGAAATCTAGATACATATATTCTATGTAGTTATTGAACAGCTTGATTGCACAGTGGTCAAGAAAAGTAGGTTTCTACCATGAGTTCATTAATAAGGCTACACGCTTAAAGGGAGCAAAGTGTGTTTATGTATGATCAACCTTCCTTAACAGAGGAATCAATAACTGGGGACGTAGAGTTAAAGTAATCGGTGGAAGGTTCAGGGAGAAGTTGATGAGAAAGG